ATTTCACTAAACTCAATCCGCGGCAAGTTGGTGTTTCCAAGTATTCTATACGCATCAAGGAAAGCTGTGATGTCAAAGGTTGCCTGTTCACTGAGAAAGCTCACGCCAATTGCATTATGAAAGGGTAGGTTACTTTCTATCAAATACTTGGAATTCGCCTCACATCGGTAAACCGTATATACTGCATATGCCACTTCTGCTCATATGATGAGTTAATTACTGCTAAGCAAGTTGTTTTCGCTGGTTTGCCGTTTCCACCTCAGCTAGAGTATCTTCACATAAGTAGGTCATACGGATACTAATGAGAACTGGCTATATGGAATCTTATATATAAAGCTAAATGTGTGTCTGTATGTCTGTATGTCTGTCTGTATGTCGTCTGTACGTACAGTCGATGTCAATTACGTACTCCCTTTCGCATGGGAACTACTCATGCACACGCAAGAGCCCGCGCGCGGGCCACCAATCGATGAGGCCAATTTGAGTGCCCGAGCCATACGCGCGCGAACGCGGCGCGAAGCTCTTGCGCTTGCGGAAAAGGGAACAGGTAATTAACATGGACTGTATGTGGAATAGAAATTTTTATTTCTGAACAGACTTGGACCAAACTTGGCACACATACACTTCGGGGCAGGAAGCGTGTCATGGGCTACATTTCGTTATCGATCGATATCGATTTTATCGATTTTTATGGATTTTTTTGCAGAGTTCGCCTACGGGGCTGGGAGTTGGCACAGGGGGTAAGCGGGCATGGGGATTCCGAATACAATATTAGTTTTTGAAATTATCCATTAGTTTTATCGGTTTTATCGATTTTTTTGCAAAGTTTGAGCTACGGGGCTGGGAGTTGGCACAGCGGGGTAATCGAGCATGCTGATTACTAAAACAGCGGGAATAGGGAACTTTATGTGGAAGTGGGCACAGGGAAAGGCTGTAAGGGATAGGGATGGGACCTTTATTACAGTGTTTTGACAGGGCCGAGCGGAGCCGGGTAACCAAGCTAGTTGATTATAAATTCAAGCACAAAGCGTTCTGATGACAGACTTATCTAACAGAAAGTAACTACTAATCTAATTTTTTTTCGCTCTTTATTCTGATAGTGACCCTTACACAATCTATCCGGCCGTCAAGTGAAAAAAAATCTAAGACAGCGAAATTTGTCAGAAAATAGGCCATGCTTTTTCCGAATGTGTTCTGATCGGCTTCCAAGTTGCTTGTCCGCTAGACATCCCGTAGTTTTTAGGTTAGCGTCGCATAATCTTCTTATATATAAAGCTGAATGTCTGTTTGTCTGTCTGTATGTCTGTATGTCTGTATGTGTGTACGTATGTTCCGAATAGAAAATTCCATTTCTGAACCGATCGGGACCAAACTTAGCACACATACACTTCGGGCCCCGGCGGGTGTCATAGGCTACTTTTCGTTATCGATCGATATCGATTTTATCGATTTTTTGCAAAATTTGAGCTACGGGGCTGGGAGTTGGCACAGGGGGGTAATCGAGCATGCTGATCACCCCCGTGGGGGTGATCAGCATGCTGATTGGAATTGCAAAATTGCAAAATTTGAGCTACGGGGCTGGGAGTTGGCACAGGGGGGTAATCGAGCATGCTGATCACCCCCGTGGGGGTGATCAGCATGCTGATTGGAATTGCAAAATTGCAAAATTTGAGCTAGGGGGCTGGAATTTGGCAGAGGGGTGTAATCGAGCATGCTGATCACCCCCGTGGGGGTGATCAGCATGCTCGATTACACCCCTCTGCCAAATTCCAGCCCCCTAGCTCAAATTTTGCAAAAAAATCGATAAAATCGACATCGATCGATAACGAAAGGTGGACTGTGACACCCGCCGGGGCCCGAAGTGTATGTGTGCCAAGTTTGGTCCGGATCGGTTGAGAAATGGAATTTTCTATTCGGAACATACGGCGGAGCCGGGTAAGCCAGCTAGTTGCTGATATAATGCATAAACATGCACTTGATTAGCTGAGGGCGATATCTGTAATCGATTGCATTTACAATCTTCAAACTTTTTATTAGCAGGAACATTTTCTAAAACTTTTCACTTTCTATTACCAAAAGTAGATATCTGCGGTTGAAAACGATAATTGATAAAAAAAAGTTCAAAAGTACCAAATTTGCAAGGTTTGACTCTTAGCGACCTCCCGCTGTGTCCAAAAAAAAAGAAAGGGAAAGAGTAAAGTAAGACAAACGATTAAAAACGGAAAAGAGTTAATCCTTTACCCACCTTCGCATATACCCGCCGCCGAACTGGAAATTATCAGAGAGTGAGATATTTTACAGATGTTCGCCTGATTTGTATTAAATACCACACTAATTATTTATGAATTCTCTCTAGTCCCCCCCCCCACCCTTCTCACTCCGCTCCCGGTCCTATTATCCACCTTCTTAGTAAGTGACCATGCAAAGACATAACCTGTCCCGACACATCCTGCTTTCCACTTCTATTACTTCTGCAAATGAACCACAAAGTCTGTTAAAGGTAGGATAAGCTAGAACTCTCAGTCCGTAAGCGAAACTTGCGTAAAATTATTCCAAAAAGTAAAGATGCAGCAACTGTGCCCCAAGTTAGGAAAACTGGGCAATGAGCTACTCAGAACAAAAGTGGAGACATCTTTGACGTCAATATGTTAGCCAAAGGTGGCTGCAGCAATACATCACAGATAACTTTAATACACTGGTATGAGTCGAATAATTTTGGCGACTACTGGAGCACGAAACTATGTATCGTCGATTCGTTGGGCGTACGGGCTGCTCAACCGCTGCGGACCACGCGCGGCGCGGTTAAAATGTTGCGAGAGCACGATTTCAACAATGGCGAGTTTGTATTGGCGTTATACCTCGCGGCGCGTGCTCCGCGGTTATGTTCAGTCCGTACAGTCAACGAATCGACGATACCATCACTTTCTCATTCAATCATGCCAGTATAACTATAAACGAAACGTTAGCAAACTTACATGGCATGAATAATATTGTGATTGTTTATCTTTGTGAAGCGCTACAATGATCATAGTCAATACATAAATGCAGTGCGAGCTATTACTTAATATCCTTTTTTGCGTTTGATAAAATTTGATTTTAGACCTCTGCCTGAAGCTAGATGCCTACAATTTTAATAAAATGACAAGTCTATCCTACTGTCCTAAGTTCCATTTCCCTGCATATGTCTTTAATTTTTCACAATCCTGTGCATAGTTTGACAAGTTTTGTTTTCAGACATGGTTATCTATCTAATTAATTGCCACTTTCTTGTATTTTTGAGCAAGATTTGCAGATTATGGTTGACAAATCAATTCGTTGTCAAATACTGGTTCAACCTGATATTCAGATCAAAATCAACCGTTCAACATGGGAAGATTTTCTGACGCATACTGGTTTTCGTTCGGCGTTGCTGTGCAAGTTGGCGCAAGCATCTTCTCTGGGATCCTTTAGGTAGTTGTGATTTCGAAGAGCGGTAGTTTATCCTTTCAATTGCAAGGTGACTGTTTAATTCGAAGGTGTTGCATATGGGCTAATCTTTGACTTCAAAAGACTATGAAATGTTCATAAATGGAAGAATTTTCCTCAGTCAAATTTTTTGACAATAGCTAAAAAGGTTCGTCAGCTTGCTTTCAAACCTTGTAGCGCGTTACCTTTGAAGAATTTTTTTCAAGAAACGCTCTTTTTTGCGAAAATGATGAGAAAAGTAATTTATACAGTCTACAATATATTTTACCAATTCTTTATTTATTTCAGATTCTGATGCTGGTAATGTTGTGATTATACCTAATCCATTCTATTATTTTAGCTGGATTACAGGTTGGTAGATACCAAAGGACTGGAACTCACACTAGGCATCAAGAATTTGCGAAAGATTCATTCTGCGCACTCTTCAAAAGACATGCGTGTTAAAGGCAGCAGCCTAGAATGACAAATTTGGGATATTCATCGTTCTCAGTTCCCCTGGATGAGCTAAGCCCAAACTGTGCTTTTCAGCTTCAAAAAGATATCAATAACCCGTTTTTTCAGAAGTGAAAAGTGCTATTTAGGCGAAGGCGTATGCCTGCCCTCTAGAGCGCGATTGGTTCGTGGGTACGCGGGTACGGTATCTCCACTCACGAGCCAATCACGCTTTAGAGAGCAGACGCCGTCCGCCCAAATAGCACTTTTCACATCTGAAAAAGCGGGTTATTGATATCGTTTGAAGCTGCAAAGCACAGTTTTGGACTTAGCTCATCCAAGGGAACCGAGAACGATGAAGATCCCAAAGTTGTTATTCTGCCCAGCCGTTGCCTTTAAGGACTAAGAAGGCCGTTTTGTGACAGTGCTTATAGAATTTATATTCAAAAATCATGTCCCCAGGAGGCTGCATAAATAACTTTTAGGGTGGGGGAGATGTGGTTAGTTAGCAGCGACGCCTTGAAAAAGTTTTGTTTGTTAACACGTATAGGACCGCGAAACGCCCGGCGAAAATGTGTGTACTTCCAGCCGTCCAACAAAGGTGATTCGTAGTCTGTGGGCTATATCTGTAATCAGTGGGTTAGATAGGCTTGATACCCAAAGTTCTGATTGACGAAGTGGTTGAATTTGGTTGCTTCAGAGAGGCTTCTGTGCTTTCTTTCTGAATAGGAGCAAGAACTCGGTTTTCAATAATTTTGAAAGTATATATATTGTACGCGGCACACATCATTATTGAAACTATGGATCTTCTCCTCGAGATCGAAGCAAAGAAAAGTTGCGACGTCGCACGTGTCGCTCGCGTGCCGCACTTCGTTGCAATTGTTGTGATTTTTCCTCATATCTTCTAAACAAGTAAAGGCGGCACAGCTCTACAGGGTCATTCGAAAATTAGGAGCTTAGGGCTTTGACATGATAACCTTGGACTAAGAGAAGACCTCCTGTAAACTCAAAAAAATCCTTCAAAGCAGCGTGCTGCACCATGTGCAGCACCAGTCCGAAACGTGTTGACGGTTCATGTTGTTCTCCTACATAAAACAATGAAATTAGTCCATTGCCGAGTTCCCGTTCGCGTGTCCGTGCGGTATCTTCAGGGCAGCACGATAGGGCTCGGTGAGCATTAACTCAGGACGGGTAACGGTAAGCAGTAATAACTAAAAAACGTCAACTCTTTTGCGGGTAAGTGCTAACATGCATACGTATAGCAAAGAGCAGACTTTTATTTAAAAAAAAAAGATCTTACTTGGTCGGTAATCTGAAAGTCGAAATTCTTACAGGTAGAAACTGCAACTATTAAACAAAGGTTCAAGAAAAAATCTCCATTTTTTCTCCACAAAATGAGGCCTTCCAAATTTCTGGTCCCATACGTTTACAACAAAATCACGACTATATTGGACAGCCCCCACCTCTGAGACTCTAAAATGCTCATCTAACCTTTTGCATGCGCTTACTCTTTTCAAGAGAGTCAGACTTGAAAAAGATGAATAGAGGAAAAAAAGGTTTTTTGTCAATGTAATATGACAGAATGTGTTCCAGGTCAATGTATACGACATTGCGCCGATTTAATTGCAATCAGTATTTTTATGAAACACTTTATTTTGCAGTCATTCATTCATCAAGTCCACATTTTAGAGTATGCACTAAAATAAACGTCATCCTTTCTGGTGATTGGTTGAGTAGCTTGGTTCAATCTGGTCGTTTTCAAACTTTTTGAATACTTTGTGATAAACCATATCATGATTTGAGAAATTGCTGTATACATAGGAATAATCTACAAATCTCTACTATAGTATGTTCTACGGGAATTTTCTCAAACTTACGTAGATAAGGGACAGCAACATTCGGAACGTGATGTACTCGAATTTTTCCGCATTGCCCGAAATAAATGCAGAAAGAATTGTATAAAATATATAGCACATGCTTTGAAATACGGCGTGGGGCAAAAGCATTCTAATTACGGTATAATTTTCGTTCAGTTGATAAGAGGAGGTAAGATCAAAACGCTTTCTGAAAATAACTTTGCGTAGTTGCTTTCTGTAATTGTGTAATAGGATATGTGCAGAATCACCTACTTTTTTACGGCAGTTCGATTTGTAGTGAATAAAAGCACAACGCCGATCAATGCAATTATACCTATTCCACAAACAATGATGTATGCAGTAGCCGATCTTGCTAATGTAGCTGGTGTAGACGAAGAGCAGTACGGCTTGTCTGAGTATTCTGCTCTACGTATGCTCCATGCGGTGATAGCGAACGCAGCGAGGACCTTAAACGAAAGTGAATTTGGCTTCTCATAACTAGGGACACCTACCGAAACTGCAGCAAGAGCGAGGCCTAATTTTCCTCCAAACTTTTCGTACTTCTTGCGTTTCCACAGAGCTACACCGCGTTCGATGACCATTGCAACCTTGACATACATACCTCTACAGAAGTGATGTGCATGACTATAAACAATTTTGCAACAAACCTGCAAATTCGCAAAGCATACCATGCAGAAAACTAAACAAAATCGTAGAAAAAAACAAATGTCTGCAGGAATCACAAAGTGACAAACGTCAGACAATGTCAGATATCCGAACATTTGATAGCTCTGAAAGAGTTTTGTAAAGACTAAAGAAGAGAAACTAAGTAGTGGTCTTTCATCTGACAATAAGACCCATATACACACCCGTTACGTTTTGTTTATTTACGTGAAAACCTTTCTAACAAAGCAGTTTGCAAAGTATTTGCTCACGCGGGACGCGTATTCCATACCACCCCCTCTCTCAGTACGGCCGCGTCCGACACTGAGCTGAGCTAGTAGCTTCCTTGTGGAGGCACCATTAGTGAGCGCCTTTATTGTAAACATGGCGGAGCAGTGCATACCTTTATACTTCACAAATAGAGGTTGGTTCATACAAATCAAGCTTACTTATGAAGTTGGAACGATGTGTGCGTGCCTGTTTGCCTCATTTGTTACGTTCGCTCGTATAGGTAAAGCATGATATCTATAGCGCAGTGTCAGTGGGCGCTGTTCGTAATAATCGAAGTGTTTGATCGCCCATGCGGCAGCAAGTTTTGCGGCGATCAAAGTATGGTCGTGACCAGCATGTAGCACTTCAGTGAAACGCGTCGTAATCTCGATTTTTACTTACGATATATTTTGGGGGTTTACTACGGGCATTGCTTTAGAAAACTAGGTACAGTACAATCAAATGATCTACAATTGTAGAAGCTCAGAGTTTACTACAGTCACCAATTTTGTTCATCACTGTGATGGGTGCCATAAGTTAAAGGCGACGTCGCACGACAGCCACCGTGAGCACTCATTTACAGGGTAAGCGTGGGGTGCACGCCAGACCTGGGGAGGGTCGTATTGAGGGTTGGGAGGGGCGGGATGGTTATCGAAGTGATACTGATATTAGCGATAACAGAATGTTCGTTAACAATGTCAGATAGGCTCATTGTGCAAGACATTAGCGCATTGATGTTTCGGCCTACCATCGTAAACTTGAATCTACGCAAAGCATAATTAGAGTTTCTAAAGCACAAGAGCAACGATTTCATAAGAAGCATGTCAAATAGCCCTTGTGAGCCAAGTTTCAGCGAATTCGGTGGTTTCGAAATATCGGACAACCCTAGTGAGAAAGTTATTTTCAAACATGTCAACTTCGTTTTAAGGGTGAATTACATACTTTTTCTCACATTCAATATAAAGAATACTTCTTTGCTTTATTATACCCCTCTATAAATTTCCAAACTATGGAATTAATTTTATTATTTCAAGCCGTGGAAGATCAATCAGTCTCGAATCACTTTTGTAAAAATCACGATGTTTAGGCTATCGGATGATGTATAGACAAATACATTTGAAGAGTAGTGCCTTGTATCGAATGCAGAAAGAGGTAGCTACTTCACTTTTGAAATAAATTAACTAGTTTGAAGAAAGACGAGTGCGAGCTAGGACACGTGAGCCGACGAGATGATGATGGCAGTAGATCGGCGATGTCAATGTGCCAGGTAAGAGGCCCAGAGAAGATACCTAGGATGCGATTTAGGCAGAATCAAAGCACATATGAAAGCGCTTAAACTAAATGAACTATAAGTTTTGAACCGAGAAGAGTGGCAATATTTACGAAAGCAGCATAACCCGCATGACTAAAAGAATGCAAGGAAAAAGGTGCAGGAGAAGTGCTATCCTAAAGTTTCTCTCCTGCAAACATCCCACAAATCTTGATTCTAATATGTAGGTGAGACCTTGAAGATTAGAATAAAACGAGCTGATTTGAAACGGCCTCTTGCGTCCATTTGAACGAGCGATAACAGTAAGGAGGATTATCGACGATGCGCCGCAGCCTTTGAGCGCTATTTTGGAGCTTTGATATACCACTAGCACTGATATCAAGTTCAAATTAGGGTAGCGTGTATTGCATGAGATTTTCTCTAACATATTCTATACTCATAATATCATAGTCTAGTCATATTTTGGCTAAACAAGAAACATCTTACAAGGAAACGATACTGGGTGTCCGTGGCCTTTTGAGATGAGTTGTATACCATTATACTCGTCTTGGAACGCTGATTCCGAATCTGACTTCCGTTTCTGCTAATCGTTTCAAATATGTTATAAAGGATTGTGCAGGCTTTGGCTGCCCACTGAAATACTTTCGGAGCGTCAACAACGGCGGTGCGGTGTGGTCTAGTGGTTAATGTGATAAGCTCATGAGCTGATGTAGGTGTAGGTTCGAATCTTTTCGTATTTTTCAGTTTTGCATTGCCTCAATAAACCTTCTTTCGTATCTTCGAGCTAACTGAACGCCCTCTTCAAAGAATTTGGAAAACATGATTACTATTTGCGCTAATATGTATCCAATGATCATAATTCGAGTAAATCTCGAACAAGCTAGTTGAGGCAGTGCAAAATAAAAACACAAAAGGATTTGAACCTACACCTGCATCGAGTTATGAGGCTATCACACTGACCACTAGACAATAACTGGCGGGTAGAGGCCGTTCCTGTGACCATAGCCTTGAGCGGCCGAAGTTGGCTCGAAATTCCTCCTCCATGAGGTGGTGCATCGTTTACGATGTATTTGATAAATAAATAAAAACTTCTTTCAGAGAAATGATTGGCAGAAACGGAGGTTAGATTCGGAATCAGCGTTCGAAGACGAGTGTAATGGTTTATATCTCGTCTCAAAAGGCCACGGACATTGAGTATCGTTCCCTTGTTAGCCCGGACTTTTGCTTCTCGAAAACTGGCTGGTTTGATTTTCTCTTGCGTAGCTAATTGGATGCAAAGTATGTTTACAAATTGTAGATTTCAAGAATCAAAATTGGAAATTGCAAAAATTTCAATCTTTCTATTCTTTCATTGAGAAGTAGATAACATATTCTCGGTCCTTCGAAACGGGGGGTGTCGGGATTTTTGCGGATTTTTCACATTTCAAATTCGGAATCCACATCAAACCCCGGAACGACTGAAACATAGAAGTTGAGAACTGGGGTTAAAGGCGACTTTAATAAGAGTCATATGTCCATGAGTAATACTGACCTGCAATCCACCTAGAACAATAGAATGGAACAGATAGAACCACAACATTGCCAGAATCAGAATCTGAAATTTGAATAAAATTTACAGAAAATGTGTTGCCAAATGTTATTTCTTGCGCACTAAAACTTTTTCTGAACGAAATTGCAAGCGTTTCGTCGGCCAAGCTCCTCTTTTATAGAGTCTTAATTGATAAAATATCAAATGTTCACCTTGCAGTTGATGTGGAACGATAAATTACCGCTTTTCGCGATCACTACTACGGAAAGGATACCAGAAAAGATGCTCGCGCCGATTTGCAAAATCAAAACCGAACGAAAGCCCGTATGCCTCAGAAGGCCTTCCCACGTTGAACAATTCATTTTGACCTAAACAGACTAGACTGACTCGATTTTTGACAACCGGCCGGTTTGCCGGCACAATGATTTGCGAATCTTGAGTGAGGAAAGGGAATACAGCAATAAAGTAGTGCTTGCACAGTAAGCTGAAGATAAGCCTTTTATGGTCAACTCAGTGTCGCCAACATCGCCAGGAATCTGATCAGGATTGCGACTAGGTACGAAAGTTTCGAACGCGAGCATGAGAAGTATGGATGAGCTTACAGGTAACAGACTATTGCCATAATCGCTCAATCATTTCACATCTGCAGGTTCAAAAGGAAATTGCATGTAACATTCTACCTAGAATTGTGATTGCTTTGTCGAAAAAAACTCAATTCTCTTTAACTATGAGACCTACGACCAGCAGGCTAGACTTTTCTATGAATTGTGGGGGTCTAACTTCAAACAAAGGTTTGAAATCATTTTATTCCAGTAAAGAAAAGGATTTCAAATGGTGGCTTATGCTCCACTAACTTGTTTTCAATTATGGTCATTGTAATTCACAAAGATAAGCAATTACAATGCTCATCATGCAATTGTGAGTTTGCTGAAGTTTCGTCTAGGTACAGGCATAAAATAATAAGTCCGTAACGAGCCATAGGTTTGTGCTTTGATATTCGTCGAAATTTTGTCTAATACTACTTATTTTATTCTATCTTCTATCATGTATTGCCATGCCAGATCTTGGTATCAAATGATTCAAACCAAACGAAGATCCATTCTCTTTCTCGCAAAACTAAATATCATTGTAATCGTGTAAGTTTCATAAAGAGCAATAACTGTTTCCTTCCGCAGGAGCCTTCTATCAAATAGAATGTCTAAAAAGGGTAGCGCATGCCCAAACTCTGAGAGTCCTTTTGTCTGCAAAGCTTTCTGCTATCCTCACGCACTTAAGTGTAATGCTGGCTTTAGTCAATAGTTATAGTAAAGAACGGAAATCATCTTTTTCCATTACTTTAGGAAAATGACAGGAGCTTCCATTATAATGGCCATAGTACAAATTAAATGCCATTCAAAAGAAGGACCATAACCAAGCAAATTGTTTGTTTCATGGTTTTTAGATCCGCTGATTCCGCCAGCAACTTTGTGCAAATCTGTAAACCATGATAGTGTGCTCGCATTCTTATCCTTCTCCGGAATAACGTCCTTAGGGTTATAGCTTTGCAGTGGGCAGCCTCCAATGGTGAGAAGAGAATTGCCAGCTCGTCCGAGCGCATGTAAGATTGGCTTGCGCGTGTAGGTTTGAGAGCAATTCTTGGCAGGGAAGGCATGCTCTGCGACCGGCACTGCATTGTTCTCCTACTTGGGTGATAAGCAACCTCCCACGTCATAATCTCGAGTTGTTAATTGCCGATCCACTGCCTTTAAGTCATGCCTGGCCTAACTTATGAATAGAAGGTATGCTAAAGTATACGTATGTGAGCTATCTAAATTCATCTGCCAACACCAGATTTTTCTGATATTTCCGAGGTATTAATAACTCTCAATGGTGCAAGTTTCTAGACCGTGATGACTGTAAGCATACGCAGATGAGAATTTTACTCATTCAACAACAGGTTCAAGCTAGGCCTACAATATGGTACCCAAACATCCACTAATTCGCCGTGCAAAAGCGGTGTTGATCAAACGTTCCCGAACATGTTGGAACCTTTTATTCTGCAAATGCGGCTGACAGACTGCTGCCAGGAGGTGATAGCTCTAGTCCTGTTCTGAATACCTCATTTATCGCTCATTTTTCATAGCTTTGGCCCACAATTAGAAGTTTTTGACATTTGGGTCTTTAGGTCTGTTAGTGCCCAAAAGCTTCTCTAGGTCACTGAGGCAGCCACACTCCTTGGAGGAGTACAGCACCCTCCGTGATCACGCTGACGTTGACGATTACACTTTGGATGGCTATTGATCACTCAGATCTGTACTTGTTCAATTAATAAGTATCCATTATGAAGCCCCCGAATTCAAGTCTTGCATTGTTGCGCGGGTTACGGTCTGTGCAAAGAAGGAAATTGATATTCTTTCACAATGCTTCCATCAATCTGCTACAAGCCGTTGTAGCCAGGGTGCATAGAAATATTCTAGCTTGCATTTCTTGTCGGAGCCTACGCCAGCTTATGACTGGATCTGGTCCTTCGGACAGCAGCATTGTCAACGAGGGAGATGGAGTTATGCATAAACATCGAATCATATCCATTGAGGAAGTACTTTTCAGTTTCGCCCTCTCTTTACGACTTTCTCTTATTTGTTTCGTTCACATATATTATGCAGCTCGTTGTCGTTTCCGCAGCAACTCATTCAGAGACGGCTCATGGAGGGTATGGAAACGACGGGGTTATAAAAAAGCGCAAGTGACTTGTTTATCTTTGTGATTTTTTTAAATAAAATATTTTTTGAAAATTCAAATTAGCCTCGTAAAAATTTTTTTCAGAGACGTGGCTCACGCCACGCCCTCTTCTTCCAGATTCTAGAGGTTGGTGACCCGCAAAAATTTTGAGAAGTATCCCAAAGAATTTTTTGGAGTGCGTGGTTAACCGCACTTTCACTGGAGAAAATTTTTTGCCCCCCCCCCCGGACGGAAATCCTGGGACCGGCAGTGGTAGTTTTGTATGATCTTTTGTTCCCGCTCAACAGAAGCTAGGATATTTCAGCACTAAACTCACTCGGCGGCAAGAGTTTCTAAATATTTGCTTTATAAGCATCAAGGAAAGCTGTGGTGTCAGAAATTGCCTGTTCAGTGAGAAAGCTCACGCCCATTGCATTATGAAAGGGTAGGTTACTTTCTATCAAATACTTGGAATTCGCCTCACATCGGTAAACCGTATATACTGCATATGCCACTTCTGCTCATATGATGAGTTAATTACTGCTAAGCAAGTTGCGATTTTTCGCTGGTTTGCCGCTTCCACCTCAGCTAGAATATCTTCAAATAAGTAAGTCATACGGATACTAATAAGCACTGGCTATATTAAATTGATTATAAATTCAAGCACAAAGCGTTCTGATGGCAGACTTGTTTAAGAGTCCCACTCTCTGATATAACAATACATGTTTTTTTTGTAAAGAAAATTTTCCTGATTGTTCCCAAAGAATCCTATCGGCTTTGTTTGCGCTAGTATAAGCAGCTATAAAGTGTTTTGAACTCCAAGATGGAAGAATATTCTGGATAATGACAATCCATTCATACTCCAAATGTTATTCTTACAAAAAGCCGTCCTCGGTGACTGTTTTTATCTCAAATATCCATATTCGGCCAAGAAGTCACATTACCATTGTGTGGCTTGCACTAAGGTAAACAGTATTATTTTCTTAAGCATGTGGTATTTATCTTGCTAATGAAAACTTTCAGTCCTTTGTCACTCACAAGAAACCTTCCAATCGACCTTGCAGTGCGATGTTAACAAAATGGTAAGAAATTGGAGAAAAAGCGAAAAATAATCGCTACCTTTATTCAAAGCTACAACTTACTCGTAACAATTTCAAAAAAAAGATTTTTCGTTTTTCTTCTTTGCTTATTTGGGCAGCTTCCATACTATTTTTCGACTAGCTCACCCCATACGACTGTTTCAGGTATGTTCACGACCATTTTGCATTAAGAAGGAGCAACGGCTTTTCACTGTGCTGTGTGTGGCCAGGTTCTTCTGAGCGAAGCGTTTCAAAGACATGTAGAAAACAAATAATCGCTATTTCCAAAGGGTAAAAGCAGAATATAAATCAACGATCGATACTTTGTAATAAAGAGGAAACGAAAACAACTACTACTACTACTACAACTACTCAGGAATTTCAAGTAGGATCATACCGCATATCAGCAAAAATCTCTTAGTAAAACCCTTCGTTAGATATAGCGCCCCAATGCCAAACTCTTTGCGTCTGCACCATCCCGTTACCTTCTTTGCAATTCTGGGTCCTCTTACAGTAATGTAAACAGGACGACGAGGAGTCGATAGATTACTCATAAGGGTCATAGGAACGTCGTAAAATTTTTGAAAGTCAGAAGGACTTCACCCGGAAATTTTGAATTGACTCGTGCCTGGCCATCGTCCGTGACTAAGGAATCGCCCAAGTGACGCTGTAAGAATTACGAAGTGAGAAAATTTCCGGAAGGTAGAAGCAGCTACGGAGCCCATAAATACGTGTAAAGTGAAGATAGAAAGTTCAAAAATGGGTTTTGATGTATCTAGTGTTGTCACGACCCTATATTATGATTAAAGTACAATAGTTATACGAACACCCCATATTTTGAAAGTTTCGGGACTTTTTGGAAGAAACGCAAAAAAACCGATGTTACTACGTAAAAGGACATAGCTTAGAAACGGTATATGAGGACAAGAACGAAAACCTGCGATAATCTTGAGAATGTTTTTGCTCCGCATGCGAATTTCAAGCGATTCATAGTTGTACGAACATCTCAAATGAAGATCCTTTCTTCACTCAAAACTGCAACCTTTCAAATTGAAATTTTTTGTGAAGTTACACTAACAAAGTTTGAGGTACTCCTTTGTACATACTCAAATCAACTTTGCTCCCACACTCTTCAAACATCGCTTGCCAATTCTATCTCGAAATGCAAAAAAAGCGATAAAATCGATAAAATCAATGGGTATTTTCACAAACCTTAATAAATTCGTAAGCAGCGTGTTCTCTGACCCTTGTGCCATCCTAAAAACGTAGCTCAAACTGAAAAATAAATCGAAACCGATTAATAACGAAAAGTAACTTACGACAACAGCCCCATTTCTGAGTGAATGAGCGCAAAGTTTGGTCCAGATCGTTGAGAAATAAAGTTATTTATTCGAAACATACAAACATATATGCAGACAGATGGAAATTCAATTTTGTATGTATAAGATTAGATACAGTCGAGTACATTTTCGCTTAATTATAGTGTGCTTGCACTGAAGGTGAAATGCGGTAAACTTTGCGCGTGAACAAATAGCTGAGCGCGTAACGCCGGCGAATTGCGCGCGCAAAAGGCTGGTATTACTGGCGTTCTACTTATTCACTTGCGTAAATTTTACCGCGTTTCACCTTCAATGCAAGCACACTATATTAAGCGGAAAATCTACTCGACTGTACCTTCTATTCATGAGATTTTTCAAATGTCAATCCACTGAAAGCGCATTGCTCATTATTCAGAAGAGTCAGACTCAAAAGATCAGTCGAGAGACGAAGAGGTTTCTTGTCAACGTATACGATATAATTGCTGACTCATGTTGCAGATAACAAATGGGTATTCTAGAAAAGATTTTATTTCGCAGACAGTCTATTTATCACCTCCACATCTTGGAATACGCAGTAAAATAAACGTCATCCTTTTTGATAATTGGTAGAGTAGCTTGATTCAGTTTAGTCTTTTTCAAATGTTTTGAATAATTTGTGATAAACCAAATCATGATTTGAGAGATCGCCGTATATATTGGGATGATCTGAAAACCGCTGCTATATAAGTTTTACGCAACTTTTCCAAAGCTTACGTAGATAGCGGAAGACAAGATTCGAAACGTGACGTATTCAAAACTATCCGCATTTCTAGAAAGACATGCAGAAAGAAATGTGTAAAGTATATAGCATATGCTGTGGAAAACGGCGTGAGGCAGAAGTAATCTAATTACAGTGTAATTCTCGTTCAGTTGATAAGAGGAGGTGAGATCAAAATGCTTTCTGAAAATGATTTGGTATGGTATCTTGCGACTATTGCATCAATATGTGCAAAACCACCTACTTTTTCACGGCAATCCGATTGGTAGTGAACAAAAGCACAACGCCGATTAACGCAGCTATACCTATTCCACAAAGAATGATGTACCCTGTAGCTAATCTTGCCATTGTAGCTGGTGTAGACGAAGAGCAGTACGGCTTGTCTGAGTATTCTTCCCTACGTACAGTCCATGCGGTTAAAATGAACGCAGAGAGAACCTATTTGCACAGACTAATTTGGTCCCTCATGACTAAAGGTCCTACCGAAAACGAAGCAAGAGCGAGACCTAATAATCTTCCAAACTTTTCGTACTTCTTGCGTTTCCATAACGCTACACACCGTTCGATTACCAATGCAACCTGTGCAACCAATATACATGCATCTATGTGAAGTTATGCATGACTGTACACTATACAACAAACCTGCAAATCCGCAAAGCATACCATGCAGAAAATCAAGGAAAATCGTAGAATAAAACAAATACCGGCAGGAATAGCGAAGTGGCACACGTCGGTTATTGTGAAGTATCCAAAGACTTGATAGCCCTGAAAGAGTCTAAGAGGTTGAAAAATAGTTTTCAACTCATGTATTATTATCTCCATGCTTTCACACTTCTTACAATAAGGGTTCCATTATCAACTAGCTTTGTCTTCCAAAATTAGCGTGTTGTGAATCGTATTTCCGTGTGGTCTATATCTTGAGTTACGGGCAATAATTAAGGAGATGAACGCTGCTTTCGCGTTGAAATTTCGGGTTAGAAGTAATAGAAAAAGATCGAGCTTTGGCCCATAGGTTTACGGGGGCTCATACTCTGTGAATTTGACTTGCCACCGTTCTCATTCTGCCGATCCACTGCTATAATGCGTTGATTTCAGAATTTTGGGCACTACCTTGCAGCCCCATAAATTTCGGAAATACGGCGATTTCGTCCAAAACAGTCTTTTTTGCGAAGAAAGGGTAGCGCTAGAGGAGAAAAAGTTGCTTCGAATGTCACCTCTGTTCATCGTCTAAATTTTTACGAGGTCAAATAAAAAATTTCGTCATATCAGAGAATATGTTTTGATAACTTCAAAAGGCATGCCAAAGAAATACAAACATGCACTGCAAAGGGTTTGCCCTATCAGATGGTAGTTAGAGTACTCCTAAAAGTCAGAAAGAAAGTTCTGTAATTTAGCCAAAGTTAGTCACGGTAAAAATGAAGAGCTGTAAACTTTCGCGAACGAAAACAAACCAACTCTCGTCAAAACATTCGCATCAAAAACATAGCTGCTCGAAGGAGGAAGAAATTAAGCATAGGATACCGCTTAGAGTATTTTTTGTATACCCTTACCCTTTACTTGGTCCAAAAAATGAAAGAACTTTTGCACTGGACTAAAAATCTTAGAATAAGCAGTGCACAAATCCTTCTTAGTTCTTTGTGTCTCAAAGTGTGTGCATGACAAATCTTTTGCAAGTTCTTGATGCTTAATGCGAGTTTCAGGTTGTGGGGTACCAACCTGTAATCCAGCTAAAACGATAGAATGCAGTAGGTATAACCACAACATCACCAGGATCAGAATCTGGAATACAGTAAAAATTGGTAAAATAAATTGTGGATCGTATGAATTGAATATATTTCTCATTATTTTCGCAAACGAATTTGATTTTAAAACAAATTTTATATAAAGGTAGCGCGCTGCCACAGGCAAGTGACTAGCTGATAAATTTTTGGGCTGTTTCGAAAAAACTTTATCGAGAAGAATCACTTTATCTGCTAATAATCTTGCATAAAATCTCCATTTGAAGTCCCGGAATAGTGATGGCCCATATGCAACATCTTCGAATCAAACAATCACCTTGCAATTGACGTGGAAGGATAAACTACCGCTCTTCGCGATCACAACTACAGAAAGAATCCCAGAGAAGATGCTTGCGCCAACTTGCACAATCAGTGCCAAACGAAAGCCCGTATGCATTAGGAGATCTTCCCATGTTGAACAATTCATCTTGATCTGTTGGCCCAATGTCTGACAACGAAAGAACTCTCAACAGTAATCCGCGAGTCTTGCTGATACATATAAAGGGAAAATGGCAGTAAAGGGAAGCCTCGACAGTAAGTTAAAATTAAGAAGGTAAGTCTTGGATAGTAAGCATGTCTCGAAACAAAAGTTGTAAAACCATGCTAGGATCGTGAAGATTTGGCAGAAGACACATGCGGAGAAAGGGTCTAGCGATAGGATGAAATTGTTATTCTACTAATATCGTAGGCATCTAACTTCAGGCAAAGTTCTGAAATCAATTTTTTTCGACGGACAAAAGGATATTAGATAGTAGCTTTCACTCCATCGGCTTGTTTTGATTACGGTCATTGTAGCGTTTCACAAGATAAACAATTACAATGTTATCTTCATGCCATATAAGTTTGCTGACGTTTCGTCTACGAATTATACTGGCATGACTGAATGAGAAAGTAACAGTACAGGGTTTTGTGCTCGAGTAGTCGCCAAAAATGTTAGACTTATACCTGCCTATTCTGGATATCTACAATGTACCGTCACAGCCAAATAATCCTGCTGCTGTACTAAATGACTCAACCCAAAACAGTGATTCAATTCCAGGGACCCCAACTCTGACTGACAAATTGAGGCCAGAGATAGCTCCATTCTGTTCAAAATAGCTCAAGGCGCATTTCTTTGAATTGAGTCAGTCGGATTATTTTTGCCTTCTGGAAGATGTGATGTAAGCTTCGCAAACCATGTATCAAGAGTATCAGCTTATCCTGTATCTTTATCCCATTTAAACTTGCTATTTTCAGTTTATCCACTTTGATTGGCACCTCTACCTTCCGGGAGAAATATTCTCACTTCGCATTTCTCTTTTGCAGCTTCACTTGGGCGATCTCTTAGCTATGGACAAGGGCCCGGCATGAATCGGGTTTCTAGGGTGTCTGAAAACGAAGCCCTCCTGACTTTCGAGAATTCTACAACGTTTTTCCTGTGAACCTTTTCGACCTATCGTCTTCTTGTTGTCGTATTTACATGTACCACAAGGACTAGACCTAGAGTTGCAAAAAGAGAGGAAGCGGAATGCTGCAGACGCCAGTAGTTTGACATTGGGGCGCCATATTCAAGAAAAAGGTTTTATTAACAAAACTTGCTTATGAATAGTTTTTTTTAGCCAGGGCTTCTGTTCTTTCGATAATAGAGTAATTCAAAACTTATGTAAACCTACAGAAATATGCGCTCCGTTGCAAAAATATATGCTCCATACGATCTCAGTTCAAATGGCTACCGCCAGAATACTAATTCTGATGAAGCTTTTACTTTATAAGTTTTCAAAACTTCATAGGTAATCCTCAGCGCCCAGCACGAGGTTAATTGGACATCGGTAAAGCGGCTTCGACTACACTATCGATTTACTACTTGATCCCGACAGCTGCGTGGTAGTTTGATTAAAAGCGTGTTTTCCTCCTTTACCCCTAATTCTTAGTCATATCGTTAGGTGTGCGCTGTAACTGAGACATGCAATTACAACTCAATGGAAAAAATTTGGATTTTGAAGATGACGCGCGAGCAAGATTGTTTTTTGTAGATGTGAGTCGTTTAGCAACTTGTCCAGAGAGTGTATGAGGTATAGGCGTTTCCCATGCGTATAGCGGGCGTGGCCCTGCGACATTTAAACACGTTAAAAAATTTGTTAAACCTCCACTTTTAAGCATTGGTTTTTTAATCTCTGGCTACCAAAAACTGCCACGCGCATACGTTAGCGAATTTCGGCCCGCTATACTGTGGGGAACAGACGTACATATAAACGTATATTTGCGATAATCCCTTTGTTTTCCATCCAAAATGATTTCCAGCTTGACATTTGCCCACCTCGTGCCAGGTCCTAATAATCCCTCTGAAAATAATAATCTATTGTTAAATAAGTCATTTGTTCAATTTTATCTTGCTTACAAGATAAATCATGACAATCAATGAGTTGTTTCTTGGTCCGGTGTTCGTCTGAATGTCCATACGCCTGCACAGCATGTTTTACTACATCCATTTTATCTTCCTAATATCGAAGCCTAGCCTGCCTTTAATTGATCTGTTCCTTGCCCTGTTAGGGGCCCCGCTTTTGTACCTTGCAAATCCCACCAATCTCATCTTGGGTGGAGGGATGATGAGACCGCGTTTGCGCCCTTAGTTTTCGCGCCTTCGTCCGCAATAGCCTTTACATAATGGACCTTGAATCACCGCATATTTCTCATCGCTAGATGAAATTTACTTCTACTGATACTGATGACAACAAAGTGTGGATGTAAGAAGTTAGCAATTGAGGAAACTTATTTTCACTGCCAGAAAATCCTTGTATCAGTAGAGCACCAGTTGAACTAAATTAGCGCAAAAGGTAGCCAAAATAGAATAGAAAATATGCGTGGAAGTCTCAGCTCAATCGCTCCACGCGCGAACCATTAGGCTGTTCAAAAAACATTCTAACTAGCACATATTGCCATATTGAAATGTTATGCCAGTTGTGACTGGATTGTGCGCCGACGTGATATTTTTCAATTATAAGCGTATAAAAACATCTGGTTCATATACTCCAAGGAAAACTTTGAAATTTCGCCCGTCCAGCTCTCCTTACGACTTTCTCTTATTTGTTTCACTCATATATATTATGCAGTTCGTTGTCGTTTCCGCAGCAACTCATTGAGAGACGAACCATGGAGGGCATGGAAACGACGTCGTTGCTATCCGATGACGAGATCACTTCGGACGAAGTACCTCCAAAAGGAAGAAATAGACTTCCCAAGTTTATAGCAGGTCGGATTTCGTTTTGTGGATCACCAGACGCTTCGTAGATCGTCTTGCTATTTTTCTTTGTGACTCATATAATCTTTTGTTTTCGATCAGAAGAACTCTGATTTTGTTCAGCACCAAACAATCCGCTGCAGAATGCTGTTTCCAAATATACGCTTTATAAGCATTGAGGAAAGCTGTGGCGTCAGAGATTGTCTGTTCAGTGAGAAAGCTCACGCTCACTGCACTCTAAAAGGGTAGGTTACCCCCCGATTGAATACCTTTCGAAACCCAACGTCGGTAAACCGTTATTATAAGTTTCAGATGCCATTTCTGCTCGAATGATGAGCTAATTATTGCCAATCATGTTGCGATTTTTCACGCTGGTCTTCCGCTTCCGCCTCAGATAGAATATTTTCATATAGGTAAGTCTATTATAGATTGCCTACAATTCACTGTAAAGAGAGTGTTCACGAAGCTTCCAAGCTAAAGGTCTGTACAGGTATAAATATAACCGGAAGTCAAGATTTTCTTCCAAAAAATCCCCGGTAATTGACAATGAAGTTCTTGAGTCCTAAAAATGGCCGCGCAAATTTTGCTCTTAGCGATTATTCACCTGTTTGTCTAACAGGTAAAAAAATGAAAATATGTGATTAAATTAAATAATATGTGCACAATTTTGACACTTCTCAAAGTTCAAGAGTTTGATTAGTTTTTGGACAGGCTACTAAAAACCGTTATAAACGCCTTTGTACCCCTGCTGACTCACTCCGCGTGCAAGCGGAAAAAGCTTTTGAGCACCTAACAATCATAGAAGTTTGAGAAGTTGAATGCATCAGCATCGCCATGTTTTCTACTCGAGGTCATTTTTTGCGATACGAAATGCTTTTCTGACTATATAAATTTGTTTAGTTTGTGTGAACATAACCATCAGCGATCTAAACTTTCTATTTAGACTCCGAATGTCACTCTTACAAAAAAGCCATCTCCGATGGCTACTTTTATCTCGAATGTCCATTTTCAGCCAAGAAGTCACATTACCATTGTATGGCTTGCACTAAGGTTAACATTCTCATTTCTCTAAGCAAGGTGAATCTATGCAAATACAATTTTTCAGTCGTTTATCAATCTTTCCGAACACTCACAACAAAGCTGCCAAACAATAGTGAAGAGCAATGGCAACAAAATGGTAAGCCATAAAAGAGAAACTAGACAAAAATCCCATACTTTTACTCAAAGCTGTCAGTCACTCATAACAACTCTAAAAGTTTTTTTCTTTTTACCATAATTTATTTGGCTCTCCTATGCTGCATTTTTTAACCTAGTACAGCTCACTTCAAACAATACCAGGTATGCTCACGACCTTTTTGCAAATTGAAGAAGAAGCAGTGGCATTTCCACTGTGCCGTCTGTGATCAGGGATTTTCTGAGCGGAGCAAGTTCCAGAATCACGTGGGAAAGCACAGAATCACCATTTCCAAAGGGTGAGAAGCAAAACATCTTGCAAACAAAATATACCATATGTATTATTCAGCCCCGTTCATATTGTAAATCAACGATCGATACTCTGGAAGAGAGAGGGCAATGGCGAAACAGTAGGGGTATGCCTATATTTTATGTAGGCAGTAAAACTCAAATTCAAAGCAACGTAATCCATCAGCTTCCCGAAGTCAAGCATGACCTTTCATATTTTCTTGTGGTAATTTCTGCAGAAAATCGTGTTCTTTATTATCGAAACAAAGCTCGGGGAAGCTTGAATTTGAAAGCAGTAAAAACCAAGCAACACTCCATTTACAAGGATGCTATTGCTAAAAGAGGTAGGATCAATTTTTAAGAAGCCAATTGAAATTTTGCAAAAAAAATATTTCTCTAATAGCATGCTAGCAGCAAACGCTTGTGATTGGCCGAGCTGCCTTGTGATTGGCCAGCTAAACATCAGGGCGTAATAGGAAGTGAATAAGCCAGCAGCATTTTCTCATGGCTATAACTTTCGCAAACGGACTGAGGGAGAAAGAATAGCAAAGATTTTTGTTACAGAGAGGCCAAGTCTAACAACAGAAACTTTACCTAAGGTTTCCCGCATTTTTCGCCCATTATAAGCGCGATCTGAGAAAAAAAAAACTTGACTCCAGCTGACTCCAGTGCCTCCAAAGCTTTTTACCTCATAATTTTTCGGACACTTAGGATTATTATATGTGGTAAAGGCAAGTTACTTGCTCGTTTATGACTTACACAGTCCACCGTCAAAAACCTTTCTACTCACTTTTTGAATGAAAATTAGAAGTTTGTCATTGGTCCCTTCTCTCTTGAGCTTCCGAGTGTCATGATTTTGACAAATTGGGTGGAACACAGATCTAGGCTTTAGGAAAAGGACATAGAATGTGTTAAGAATTGATTTTTAGTTCAAGGAAACCAGTTTATAAACCCGTCCCATTATTTAGGAATTCCAAATGGTGAACTTTATGGCAGATGTCTCAAAGAAGAATACGCTGGCACTGGAATCAACTCGCACATCAACGCCAGAAGACGACAGCCTGCCACTCGATCTGAGAGTTAAGAAATCTCCTGCGGTATCGTCAGCAGTCCAGATGACACATGAAGCCCGTTCACATTCCACAGCAGCAGATCCCCCATTTACACTGCGAAGAATCACATTTTCTCTGTGAAAGTACACGATCCCAAATTTTTATTGTTTGTGCTCTGCTGCGAAATGCGGGAAAGTACAAATGTCTTTGTAGCTGTATAGTTGTGTGTCTGTTCTGTTCACAGCATGTCAGCTGCTGCTCGATATGTCTTCAGCAGCTGCTTTGCTGAACGCGAAACATTCATTGTTGATGGCACCTGTAAAACGATATGTAAATAGACGCAAATACATCCGTCATGCTGGTTTCCGGCTAGATTGATGAGTTAACGGGAAACTCCTTGATGTTCCGAGAAGAAATCGCGAATAAATGTTTTGGCCTTTTGGAACCTTTATTACTCCATAACAATAAAAAAATTTTCCGAGTGAATATTTCTCATTTGCGATAAAGAGCACTTCAAAGTAGTCTAGCCCCATACATGTGTGAATTTCGCCAATAAAATTTTATTGCTAGCTTCTGATTACCTAGCCCTTTTTCTTTTACAAACTCTGAGAAATTTTTGTCTGTGTTTGCTTATGTTTCGTTATGGCTGTCTTGCTGTCCCAGTATTCCACAGGGACGATGTTTTATAGTCCCATTGTCCTCTGTTTTCGATCTTCCTTCGGCTATCTATCTTGGATATAAATTGCTAAGAGAGAAGCCTAAACTGCAAACTCAAGCATTTTTCTATATTTGTTTCACAACCATTATGAAAGCAGCAACTTTCGAAGCGCTTATTTCCCTGTTGTTGCCTAATAGAAAAGTGATAAATTTGAAACATCTAGGAATTAGGCTTCACATTATAAGAAAAAATTCAAAAAATGCCCAGCGAAAAATAAAAAAATGTGTGACCTCCTTCTTTAAAAAATTGTTTTACTAGTTGAAAAGCCTTAGGGGGGATTATTCTTGTGTAAATAGGGTAACTCCTTTGCTTGTTTGTAGTATAAAAAAACGCCATGCAGAATTTTTCTGAAATATCATTAGTCCTGCTGCAGGTTTAAAAAACTGCAGATTGCAAATACAAACAAAAATGTAATTGGGGATGGAACCAGGATATAAAGTATGGACAAATTGATGGTATGTATAGGAAATAAAGGTAAGTAAAGCGATGATGCCTCGTCTAATCTTGAAAAAAAATTTTTCACTCTATTATATTCTGATGAGTTATATCATGGAGAGACAGCCTACAAAAGCTGTGGAATTACGTTTAAGGTATAAATCTTCAACAACTTCGAAATTTTTGCTTCCCACCACGAAAAACGACTTCAAGATTACGAGATTTTCGTACTAGCTCCGATATATCCGTGCAAACTCCATAATCTCGAAAGTGCATCGCTTTTTACACGGCGGAGTACTCCTACCACTAGCAAGCAAATTAGTGCACTCTGCTAGCGCAAATCGCATAATCACCGGATTTCGTACACGATACGGCCGATTTCGAGTGCTAAAATCTAATTCCGGAGCCGCGCGATTGGGCGTTCTGCCAGCAAGGAACACGGGGCCATCGCGTCGCCCAGCCGCATCCTCAAGTCTCATCCGGCTGCGATCGTCGTCACGACGAGCTGCCCGCCCTCGCTCAGCTGCCGAGGTCAGACCGCCATCGCTGCTCGACTGCTCGACGATGCTGCGATCGCTCGTCGTCCTATTCACTGTTGTCACGACAGGTGGGAGCTAGTTTGAAGCGAGTTCGTCGTCGCTGCTTTGTGTAAAATTTGTAGCTGTGAGTTCTGCAAGCATCGAACTCTGCGAAGCTATGAATTATTCATTTTGCGTAGTCGACTATGCATGCTCATGTTCCAAACAACAAAAATTGAAAAGGAAAGCTGCAAAATCTTGAGATAGACTGCAAAGCTTTTTCCGGAAGAACGCGGCATCAGGCTACACAGGTTATCTCTAGGGACTTTTGGTCTTTGGCAATTCATTATACTGGAAAAGCGCTCTAAGCTTTTCTGATTCTTCCTCAGTTCGAAGTGTTCGACTCTGAATCATATTTTATTTGGTCTATTTATTCTTTTTTCACGTAACAAGCTTATCCGCAAATGAATGCCAATATGCTGGAAATTCTTACCGTTAATTATCACAGAGGTAGCCTAAGAAGTAGAAAAGTATATTTTCTCTGATATATGTGTTTCTGCATGCATGGTCTCTGGTTTTCTTCATTTCTCTTTTACATCATCAGCTTTTTTGCAACTCAGCAGAAGACGGTGTAAAGATTTTATGTTTTGCATGTTTATGACTCAAGCTAGACATTACTGCTGCTCCTTCTCTTTTTATGAAAACTTTACGGGCATATCCTTTGATCTCATGATTTTTGGTTATGTCCGTCAATTGTGGTGTGGCAGATGATAAGACAAAATGTGCAAATTTTCTGGTCCATTGTCGCTTTTTTCATTAAAATTGTTTGACTATTTGCAAAGTGAGTAGTCATCGCGGCAACACGGCCGAGAAGAGTGGAAGGTACCCCGCACGTGAAATTGGTGTAAAATTACCTCTTTCTCAGACATCAAACGGGAAATTCCATTGATATTCATGCGCCAAAAATCTAGGCTTTGATTACTAGGTGTAGGGCCGCTGTTCTGCTAATAGTTGATGTTATCGTCGATATAGGACGCATTAATTGCATGCTGCACTGACTGCAACAAAAAAGAGATTGAAGATAAATTGGACGCATTCTGACTCTCAGATATTTTTGTCCGATGTTGTCTGCCTGCGGAAATTAACCCCATTTCAACGTTCAACGTTGGATAGCATGCAATTTTACGAAGATTGCGACCTAAAAAATCACGCTTCCTTCTTTGTTAGCATTTTGAATGTATGTTTCTGTCTGTCGATGAATATTCAATTTGCGGGATAAGGGGAGAGGAGGGGAGATAGGATTTTTCGTGGCCGCAGCAATAGCCTTCGAAATATTCTTGAGAAGCTACCCAATTCTTTCAAAAGTTCGTAGCCCTCATTTTAGAGTGGAAATAACATCAACCGCTTCAGAAAATTTTTCTGCCAGACTAAATCAGTTTTAAAACTTCTTCTATCTCGTTTTTATATGTGGGGAATCACTTGCACACCTTAATAATCTACAAAGACCAATTCTCTTATATTCTTTTTCTCTTCTGGTCTCCAAAGCCTAATGCTTGTTTTTGTATAATATAGTCCTGAACATATCGTCTCATTACAAATAAGTATAAGACATGATTACACAGATTCTCTATCTTACAAGTGTAAATCTTTCTTTCGTCTAGAATTTCATTTAATTCCATTGCCATGAAAGTGTTTGCGATTTCTCAGTTCTTTGCATTATTACTGCTTTTACACTTGGTTACCTACACGATTTTTGTTGTTCGTGTGCTGAACTCTAATAAAGAACCAAACTACTTGTTTGCTCGTGCACTGCGAAAAAATGGTAAACTAAGAAAATCTTCTTATAAGCTCAGAAGACATCCCAGCAAGCCTTTGCAAATCGCTGCTATCGCTTTGGTAAATGTGTAGAGCAAGTTGTTTTTGGCTCGTGTTTTCTGCGTTTTTAGCGTTAGGCTCTGAAAAAAATCTGGATAATAATTTGAAATGCTACCCTTTGATTCAACTGGATTGGCGGCTGGAAGGTGAGGCTTCGTGACCTTGAGCACGAACGCGAGAGAGACGCTGGCTGCGTCGCGAGCGCGAGCGGCTTTGATCAGATCACAAAGCCCCGCCTTCCAGCCGCCAATCCGGTGAATCAAAGGTTAAGTACAGGAACTAAGCAAAAATTTTTATAGAAGTTTTTAACAGGAATAATGCATGATTTGTTTAGAACAGTGAAATGAAATTGTAGTGGGAGGCAACTTCCTTATCTCTCAATACTTGCTTCAGTGACTAATTATACTCGACAGCATGATTTCAAAATCAGAATTTTTCTCTTCCTCCGCGTGTTCTCGTCCATTGTAGGGCTATTTCCAACAAGAACATATGCGAGGGGCTCTTTCTTTCAGTCGCTAAGTGGCGGTAATAATGTCACATCGTGAGTGAATGATTTGGTGCCTACGACCATTAAGTTCTTTGTTCTGCATCTGAACGAATGCAGCACTTATTGTTAGTGCATTCTTAAGTATACGAGTTACGTGAAGCTCTCAAAGGAGAGAATAGAGCGGAATGCGTAGAAAATAATTGCCGATAATTTGCTATGTTTGTATTGTTTACTTACAAGGGAACCGTGTCGAGTCGAAGTGGCCTTCCAAATGAGACCCACACTGCTTTGAAGAGCATTAATCGGTGATTCCAAATCTGCTTTCCAAATCTGCCAAGAGCCTCTGGACGCCAAGTTATGCTCGTTTTTCAGGTCAAAAAATTGAACGCAAAACTGAAGCAAAATCGCACAAATTTGCTCAAATGGTCCAGTGTCCAAGTATCAGAGTTGTTTATGCAATGTATACATTTTATTCAATATGCTAATACTTAACATTGCTTTATCTGAGCGCTGGAAAGATTGTAACAATCAATTTTACCTAAATTCTGCATTCATTTTTCGTTCCGAAGAACGGTCATAACTCGGCTCCAAAGGCGCTTGGCAGATTTGAAAGGCAGATTTGGATCACCGCTTAATACTCTTCAAAGCAGTATGGGTCTCATTTGGAAAGGCCACTTCGACTCGACACGGTTCCTTGTTAGCTATTTGGCAGTTTTTCTTTTTTGAATTTTGTGGAATTATTGCAGTATGACACATAAGGTCCATCAGTGATTTTTTGATGGACGTGTTTCTTGTGGTATAAATGCTGGGGGGAGTGGGGGGGGGGGGGGGGGGGAGGGAGGAGGAAAAGAGTAAAAGAGCATTGTATTTTGCATGAAAGCTTAATTTTCCAAAAATAATTTTTTTGCCCGAAATTCGCTACATCGCTGTTCCTACAGACTCCGTCATATAATAAGTGCGATCGTCGCACTGGGCCGCGATCAAATTATCGCGACAGGGCTCAGCTGCAACATATTAGCCCTTGTTAAGAGGACACTCCAAGAAATCGGCTTCGTTGCAATTTCTCGCACTTGCAGTGACTACGAAGAACCTCAGAATTTATAAAAAAAATTTATTGAAATAGCCCCATCAAAACGAAATGTAAATAAAAACTGGTGATAACTTGCTTCCCCTTTTGCAAGTTTTCGTCACTCACTGCCACTGTTAGATATTTCCTCTCTATTTTGCGGTTCATCATTACGCCAAGTTGGGATTGGAGAGCTGATTAGGGCAACATTTCGCTACGTTACTCATCCGCCCAATTGTCAGCGGATAATTGGGCTGGAGGCGTTCGTTTCGGGCGCATTCCCAAGATTTATTGACACTGAATGTCACTACGAAAGGCTGAAGATTGACAGCACAACACAAAGTTCAGCTTTTCTCGACGTGCGCTCAGATGGGATGGCAAGTCTCTGAAGATTTTGAAATTTCAGCACATGGATTGGGATGCATGGTGAAAGTATGCGGAGGGAACGAAAAGAATGATTTGCGACGGTGTCCGGACGTTGATGGTTCATGTGGAAATTTTCATAGTGAAAGGTACAATTCTCAACTTCATTTTATCATTTTAGTTCATAAATCTTTCATTTATTTACTCCTAAAACAGTTTCGAATCAACTTTACGCCAAATACTTCTTGCTTAAGCTCCATTTCCTCTCTTTCCTTACAAACTACTTGTTCACAGCCATCCACGTAAAAAATTATAACTCGAAAATCTGACCCCTTCCCTTCAATTGTCTTTTCATTTATTAAAATTTGTCTTATACCCCAATCAGCTAGATCAAAGCTATCCGACCACTCTATTCTTCAAAAAATAAGCAATTCTATTTTTAGGTCAAATGGCGAAATCGTAGATGGAGTAGATATTCGATGTCCGGCCAATGCACCTGTCTACTCACCTATCGAAGGAGAAATGTACTTCTGGAGACCCTTTGGTGGAGCCGCAGACAAATCTTGCGCTGACCACGGTGTACGTATCGAAGGCACAGGACAGTGGCAAGGTAATGGATATTTGAAATATCATATAGAAACCACCCCAATTTTTTCGAGCAAGTAGTACGAAATGCAAACAAAAACCGACGCTTCACTACAACCAAATTTTTCCCCTGCCAAAGTGTCATGTTTCAGGCTATGCTGTGCATATCTCATCAGTGAAATTGGATTTCTTTGGAGGCAGAGTGAAAGCTGGGGAAGAGATTGGAAAGGCAATTGACAGGTTTGAAAATTCTTATTCTATTATATTAGAGTCGAAGAAAAAAGAATGATCTTTTACTCAATTTTTTTGAATAAAATTGATATTTCCAAAATCCACTTCTATATTTTTGAAGGCGTATAGTACTTTATGGTGCACTATATACTTTACAGGGAAAAGACTCAGAAGTGCTGATGGATGTGTTTGTCACTTTCTGTTTTTTATTTTTTCCTGATTTCCAACCACGAAAAAATTTTATTATATTGAGTGTATATAAGATGAGTGCATATGTATGCTATAGCATGAGCAATTGATGAGATATCCAAGACTTTTTTTTGGGGAAAAGATTCTATTTTTGGTTCACAATTTGTTAACAATTTGGCTTTGAACTTTGCATAAGTCACGAATTATGCTATTTATGAAAAATCAAAAAGTGTCTAGACCTTGCTTCGTTCTCCATCAGATACCAATCATACATTTTACATCATTACATATTTTTAACATATTTTTTCGTAGCTATTTTGTTCTATTCCTATTGAATAAAATTCTGATACCACCAGCTGCAAACCTAAATTCTATCATATGTAGGAACTGCTTTGATGACAAAGCGCAAAGAGACGTCGAACCGCATATTGAAATGAAACTCTATAAAGAAGGCAAACTCATTGATCCTACCTATCATTTACAGAACTGTAAGTTGTTGTATATTTTTACGAGTTACAAAAAAATCTGAACATTGTTTTACAGGTATGTGTACGGGGCAGATCTGTGAGTCTAACTCCAAAAATAAGCTTTTGGGAGAGCCATTCAAGTCTGATAAGTGAGTACCTCTGGCCGATGCAATATTTTTAACTAGGTAATTATTGTCAGGAGATACAACGGAGTGCGGGGATGGGATATCGAGTGCAGAATGGTAGAAGATGAAGAAGGTGGAGAGAAACGAGCGCCCCTGATTTACTCTCCTATAGCTGGAGAGCTTGTTGGAAGGTGCACTTTCCTCATTCTCAACGAGTATGTGCCATTTTACTTCATGATTTCTAGAACTCGTTTGGTATTCGATCAAAATGGAGCTTACTCGGGTTGCGATAACGACGGAATGTTCATAGTAGGTACAGGAGATTGGATAGGTTGGTAGGATATTTTAAAAATAGGTATTGTAAGCTAAATACAGCCTGTTTGAAGGATTCGAAGTACGTCTTTACAATGTAAGAACCAGGGAAGACCTTGGATTTGGGCGAAAGCGAATCGTGCAAGGTGAACCGATAGGAACACGACTCGAATGTGATAGCAGCCCTGACAGCATTTTCCTTGAGGTACCACACTTTCTCAAATTTTCTTCCGCAAATCAAATTACCATTTCAGGTTCGCTATCAAGGTCGAGTGGTCAACATTAGTGACGTAATATCAGCCGAAAAATGTCAATTGCCGCAGTTACCTGATTTATTCAGATAGAATATTTTCTGTACATTAGCATACGTAATTTCTGTTACTCCTCACAAATGCTCAGAACTACAAAGTGATCCTCTCATATGTTAATAAAGCTTTTGTATACGCAGTTCGATATGTCGCCCAGCTTTTTTATACAAATATACGAATGGCAATAGGAGGTCAATGTACTAAAATTGTGGAGACTGAGAAATGGGTTTAAACCTTCAATAAAAATCCACCTACTTATCACGGCAGCGCGTGACGAAGGCAAAAAGGCGGTCCTCTTAGAGCTCTGGGCAATAAATACGTCATTTGAGGTAAGAGCAAATATCGGCTTGGTTGTACTTGATTGGCATGATAATCACTTGTCAATGTAGTTTTCGAGCTACTACCAAGAGTAACATTATTTTACTGGTTGACATGACGTTTTCGCGTTCAACGCCTTCTTCGGAGCCTGAAGTTGAAGTCATAAGTGACTATGCGGTTGGACGTCAAGAACAAAGACGAAACAACATCGGAAAGAAGATTAGTGTAGAGAGCAGAGCCAGAACCACAAAAATCACTTTTTACTCATTTAGACGTAGCTCAAGTGCTAGTTGAAAAACAGACCACCATGCCAAACTGTGCCTCAGCCTCAGTTTTATACGCCAACGTGACCTGACCTCATGTAAGATCACAGAGGGATTGATAAGGTGCGAGTTGGTGGTGTTCGCGATGCACTCTCTTTTCTGTTTATTTTTGGATTTTTAGCAGCTACCCGGAACGCTTCCAATGTTTTGCGTGCTAGGATTTCGGGCTCAAACGATAAAATCTTCACTCCAATTCGAACTTCAGCGTTTTCATGGTGTGATCTACGATGTTGCCTTAGAGATGTGGAGGACTTTTACTTGTTCAGCCCATCTAGATGTTCTCTGACACGAACGCGAAGAGGGCGGCCGGACTCTTCGATGTAGGTGTATGCACATGATAAACATGTGATCAAATAAATAACTCCTGTCACCATACAGTCACCCTCTCTGCTATATGGACATACTATACAGCCTCGGGGAAAGAGGTACAGTCGAGTAGATTTCCTGCTTAATATAGTGTCCCTGCAGACGCGACAACGCTGGGGCGTCAATAAATGCCTTGCGAGTTCGCGAGCTAGTGTTTTCCAGTGTTTTCTCTGCTTATTTCATGCTTTTTAGTTGATTCGCTGCTGATAAAGAGGAAAAGGGTAAGTTAGAGTGTGGTTTCTGTTTTCTGAGAAGTTCTATCATGGCATATTCACAGATATCCACATGGAAGCAGTTCGCGTCAGCTTCTTGTCTATTTTTTGTCACTTCATGTCTCTTTCTTCTTGTGAGGTACTCCTTTGAACGCTAGTGGGTTTTACGATTGACCTATTGTCTTTATCACATGAAGTACTTGATTAAAATGCTATTTCTTGTGGATGAAAGCCGAAGTTGCTGCAAGACAAGCCAACTAGCGTTCAAAGAAACGCCTCGCAAGAAGGAAGAGGTTTGAAAGAAGAAGTGACAGAAGAAAAGGAAATGACAAATAAAATAGACAAGAAGCTGACGCGAAATGCTTCCACGTGGATATCTGTGAATATGCGGTGATAGAACTTCTCTGAAAACAGAAACTACACTCTAACTTACCCTTTTCCTCTTTATCAGCAACGAATCAACTAAAAAGCATGAAATAAGCAGAGAAAACACTGGAAAACACTAGCTCGGGAACTCGCAAGGCATTTATTGACGCCCCAGCGTTGTCGCGTCTGCAGGGACACTATATTAAGCAGGAAATCTACTCGACTGTACGGTCATACTTACGGTTGCGAAGCAGTTGTCGCTTTAGGTCTGAGGGCGGTATACCGACCATTCCAACGGCCTCTTGTAAACCGCGCGATGTACGCATCGCCTGACTGCCCTGCTAATTCATCCGCAAACGGCAGGCAAACGGGAATCTTGTCCGGCATGGAAGCTGGACAGGCCACAAAGCCGCACGATCGAGGTGCACCGTCCCGCTCCGCAGGTCGGCGCACAAAAGTGAGGTTGAGGCACAGTTTGGCACAAGGTGGTCTGTTCCTCAACTACCGTCTGTGCTACGTCCAAAGTGAGTAACAAGTGCTTCTGGCTCTGGCTTTTCGATTCTGTTCGTATTTGTTCTTGACTTCTGACCGCATAGTCATTTATAACTTTGACCTTCCAGGCTCCGAAGAAGGCGCTGAACCCCGAATCATCGTCGTCAGCCAATAAAGTGTTGTTACCAGTCTTGATAGTAGCTCGAAAACTATATCTACAAGAGAAAAATTGTGCGCAGTACTTCGCACAGGTATACAATATTACTAGAGCGTTCGGAAAGTAATGCACTCATTAGTTGCGAGAAAGTAACTATACTTATCTCAAAAATAGAACGGTCAATGCTCAATCCTGATAGATGTAACCTCGAGTCATTTGTAACTTAATATGTGAGATTGCACACTAAGCTCTATCAGCGACGGCACCAACACTAGCAACTTCCCAGTGAAACATTTTCTAGCCTAAAAAATGGAGAAATGTGTTCTGCTGACTATCATATAACCAACTAAAACAAAAGAAGCGAGAAAACAAGGAGAAATCACTGGAAATGAGCAGGTTCTAATTTCGCAGTTCGTCAGTTAACGTGTAAAGTATGCACTACGCATATTAAGTTACGAATGACTCGACGATACATATTTCCACAAATCCTTTCCCACAAGTCCATCCCCGCAACTAGAAAAGGTGAGTAACCTAAGGTCAAGCAGGAGGTGTAAAAGCAAAAGGAAAAGCCTTTCTCCACTTGGTAGAAACCTGCCGAGATCGGCAGCTGGTACGCCGGCAGCTGGTACGCTTGTTTGAAGCTGCTCTGCCCATAGCACTATGGTTGTCCAGGAGCTGATCGCAAGAGTACGTGCCCCAGGAGGAACACTTGCATGAAGGCACGTTCAGGCGTTTACGGTCGCCAAGGAAATCAGTGGACGTGTTGGGGGGGGGGGAGGAGGGGAGGATATCGGTGCAGGTAGTAAGCGAGATAGCGATATCTTTTTCTCGTCCCTAGATGGAGTTCACTGTCACGGGTTCAATCAAAAGAGAAAGAAGGAAGGGAAGAGGTTATCCCAGCTGTTCTTTATAGAAGAAAAGAAGGCAGGGAGACTCGGTTACGGCGCGCCCTCAGCGCCCAGTGATGGTGCAGCATAGGTAAGTGCCAGAGTAAGCGAATATTTTGCTCAGGTTGGGGTCCCGCGCAGAGATGACGTCACTTGGATTGATGCCAGCATGATGAGAGACGTCAATTCTGCGCGGGACCCCAACTTGAACAAAATATTCGCTTACTCTGGCACTTACCATACTTCTGCTTCGGCCTCATTGAAGTACGAGCCGGGGCTCTTCGGCGCGTTTCCAGCTACATTAACAAATAGGAAAGGTGTTCACCCATCACGCCCTCTCATGACGTTGAGCAGCATGGCCTAGTTGGCCGAATGGACTTCGCTCTGTAAATTGACGCTATAGACAAGCTCATAGGGCAACGTTCAGGAGGGGGTGAGCGCGGAAGGTTGTAACTAATGACGCCTCGAGACGGCCCGGAATCATGGGCAGATCTATAACGCTTTTGGCCTCAATTTGAAGGTCGAGCTGCAGGAGCAACATATAGGGGCTTCATCTGGTGGACATCCGCTATGCAGATGTGAAATGCTTGGAGCAGGCGAAACATCGTGGCATTAAATACCGGTGCGCGGATTTGAGACGCTTTGTCGGCCCTGAGTGTGCTGTAGCAGGGGGCAGAGTTCTCGAGAATGCCCTTCGATCAGTGCTGAGTAAGGAGGAGGCCGTTTTGAAGAGGGTGAAGATCGCGGACTTTGAACATAATCTTCACCATCTTGTCGAACGTGTTCGAAACGTCCTTTTCGATCAAGATGTACTCATCGTGCTGCTCTTCCGTGAGTTCCTGATTGATTATAACCCGTAGCGCCCAAAGGCAATGCGGCAGTTGCGAAAGCACTGGCAGATGTCACACTAGGGGCAAACTCTTTGAGGACCTCGTTCATTCCACGGGAAGAGGCGTCGGATCATCTGAAATGGCAATTTTCGAGAAGAGCCCGGAGATGTTGAGGCCTTCCGCGGGGGTGGGGGGGGGGGAAGTTTCTCACCCGAGCCATATTCTCGCATCTACGTGATGTGCCTGCCAGGCACATCCGGACTCGCTACAATTACGAGCTCCTCAGGAGACCAACACATCGCAAGCCCCGCCCCCTTATCCAGTGTCGCTCCGGATGCTGAAACCGGAGTTTCAAAGAGACTTTCAAGATCGATGTTCAGAAGTGAATTCACTCCAATCAAGACCAAATTTCGGATTTAGGGGTTTTCGAGGTTGCTCTTTCCAGTAGTTAATTTGTTTGTTGCAAAGTCAACGTTCTGCACCGATTATGCGTAACCAAGATCAAAATTCGGATAGAGATTTTTGAAATTTCTTATTTCAAGACAAGACAAAATTCAGGTCTGAGGGTTTTCGAAAATTTATGTATGGATTGAAAAAACATCATGGATTTCTACGAAATTTAGTCTTGGAAACCAGATTATGGTTGAAAAAATAGGTTAAAGCAAACTTGAAACTGGCACACGTGTGATAATTATTCTTATTTGGAACTAGCTGGCTTACCCGGCTCCGCCGTATCCGGACCAAACTTGGCACACATACACTTCGGACCCCGGCGGGTGTCACAGTCCACTTTTCGTTATCGATCGATGTCGATTTTACCGATTTTTATCGATTTTTTTGCAGAGTTCACCTACAGGGCTAGGAGTTGGCACAGGGGGGGGGGAAGTGAGCATGGGGATTCCGAATACAATATTGGTTTTCAGAATTATCGATTACTTTTATTGATTTTATCGATTTTTTGTAAATTTTGACATGCGAAGCTGGGATTTTGCACAGGGGTGTAATCGAGCATGCTGATCACCCCCCTTGGGGATGACCAGCGTGCTCGATTACCCCCCTGTGCCAACTCCCAGCCCCCTAGCTCAAACTTTGCAAAAAAATCTATAAAATCGATAAAAGTAATCGATAATCCCGAAAACCAACATTGTATTCGGAATCCCCATGCTCGATTACCCCCCTGTGCGAACTCCCAGCCCCGTAGCTCAAACTTTGCA